TGGACTGATATGAAAGGGGAGAGGAGTATTTCTGTAAATACTTAGTACTTTTGCTTAAGTAGAATTGTTATAGATGTAATTCTTTAGTAGTTTTTATTTTGCTAATAATAAATGCTCATACTATTTTCCCCAAAATTCAATCTCTTTTGTCTGCATAAACCTTCTCGCAACTAATAGTAATTGTGTGGGGGGTGTGAAAGCAAATTGACCCAGAGCAAAACCACGACACCCTGTCAAGACCATCTCATTTTCAGACTGAAGAAGCCCTGATTCCTCAGTCTTTCCTCACAGGGAGAGTCTTTCGTTCCTCACCACCCTGGTCATGCTCCCCTGAACTTGCTTCGCTTTATTCATAGATTTCTTGTATTCTGTAGCTTGAAAGTGGACATGGTATTCTAGAACATAACTGACTGTGATATAGTTTTAAAGAAAGAATGAGGTTGCCAAGAATATAAGACCCCTAACTGTTTAGTAATAAATTTCATTAATCTGCCTTGTGACAAATGTCATCACAGAAACATTCTACAGACTACTTTTTCCAGCTTGTATGTAAAAGTACAGGATCATAATATTCTTGTCCTTCTAATTTTGACTATCTTTGTTTTAAAAGTCACAGCATGTGCATAGCACTGTTGCCTCGCTTCTGCAGATACAGCGAATGAGTTGATAACTGAGAATTTCTTTGTTCCCTTATCTAGATAGAGGTGAAAAGACAGAAAGCCTGTTTGATTTCCATCAGTATCAAAGCCAAGTTCAAGATCATGAGTTCTTGATGCCTGTGTTTTGCTTTTGAATCATTGTGACCACACCTAAATTCCTCACTGTATCCATTTAAAATCTGAATATTATTTTATGCTTTGTTATGGGCACAAAAATATGAGTTACTGCTGAAAATTACAGGAATATTTCACAAAGCACACTTTAAACCAGCAAAACATGTTCAAGGCAAGCTGCCCAGTCTCAGGTTCTGCAGAACTGACACCTTGGGGGAACTGAAAAGGACACAGAGTCACAGTTTTCAGCTCTCCCTATTCGTCTTTAATGATAAGTTGCCTAATATCAAAATAATAACCTGTAAAAAACCCCCCAAATTTTATAAACCATCTTTTTAGTACCATCTCTTTATAGACACTTGTGGTTTCCTTCTCTCTTTGTTTTATTGTGTACAACTGGGTGGGTCATCTGTGTTAGTTGTGTTTAGGGGTTGATCCAAATTATCAGACTACATCACAGTCAAGAAGCTCAAGATAAAATTCTCTGCTTGAACCGTAAATTAAACTTTTTTTGAACTGTTATATTTAACCTTTCTTCCCCTATTGCTGCTTCTTACATTTGAGAATAGGATATTGCCGTTTCGGGAGCAAACTCATGTCAGAAGGCTATGTGACTATGATAATTTTGGATCTCCATTGTATGTTTATTTTTCAGGATGTGAACACCTTCAGAATGATCATGGAGTAATAGTTGATTACAATACCTCAGACCCACTAATACGCTGGGATTCCTATGAAAATATGAGCCCTGATGGGGAAGGTGAGTATTTGGTCACATGAGACCAAAGGAAAACCTTTTGCAACTGTTCTAGAGTGGAAGGAGAAGAGAGATCTCATTTGCTTGAAGCTAATGCCACTTTACTGATGTGTTAAGTAGCTGACTATCTCCCCTGTTTGGCGTTAGTGGCTCTAATTTAGGAAAGAAAGCAGTAGTCATAAGAGAGATTCTTGTTAATGCATGGAATTAGACTGAGATACAGGTTACTTTATTACTTGTAAATTTGCCTGAAGACTTTTTTTTTGTTCTAAAGTTTGTAGTTGGAATCTTAACATAGAATTTTAAGAATGGCAAAATGATAAGGTGAGTTTCTAGCTTTTGCTTACTATGTTATCTGGAGTTTTGCAGAAGGTGCACTAGACTGTTGTGGATAAACAAACAACAAAGGATGTGCCTATTTGCATATCACCCCTTTAAATTTACCTGTTTCCAAATTGCCCTTTTATTTCTTAGATTTTTTTTTTTCTCTCTTATCTGCTGGCACGTGTAGAAGATGAAAAGCTCTAGTAGCTGCCTTCAGATTCTGACTCCAGTGTGGATGATTTTCGGATGTTTTGCTTGAGTGAATGCCATGCTTTTAATGGATATAGTTTTTGTGTAAGGACTCAGAATGTCACACCTGTGTCTGCAAACTTCAGCACATGCACAAGTCTTACATTGTTGGAAGTAAAAACATGAGAAAAGGTATTGAACGAATGCCAAAGTTTGTGTTTTTACAACTTTCCTGTTATGAAATGAGAGACAAATCTAGGATGCTTAATTAGCTGATCTCTAGGCTGTTTCAGTCGGTTTTTATAATCTGAATTCAGCCTTGAACATCTGATGACCACATCAGTGAGGGTTTTAGGGACAGTCATACTTGTGGCTTGACTTTTTTTTCACTGCCTCGCTCTTGTTCAGGAGCATTTCCTAATGCACAGCAGACTCTAATCTGCAGAAAACTAGGGGAATACAGGGAGTGTAAAGAGAACAGTCACTTGGTGCTGTTACATGGGGCAGGTAGAGCACTCCGTAGGGAGTCATCTGAGCTTTTATAGTTGGAAAAGACTGTGTAGTGCAGAATGAGTAACATCACAGGGAGTGAATCTTGCCTGGAGATGATGTCTTAATTTCTACCCAGGATGTTTTCATATCATTTGTGATTCCTTTCCCTCCCTCCACCTGCCATCCTTTTCCCTTTCTTTTGTATATACCTAGCCCTCAGCAAGCAATGCATTGATATAAAATATATTTTAATTGCTGAGATTGATTTGCTAGATGGATTTGGCTTTCCTATCCTCATGCGTTACATTGTAGGTAACTACGTCAGTACAGAGAACTGAAAGCAGAGGTGAATGTGCAGGCAGCACTCTGTGGGAAGATACAGAACTGTATGCTGCTCATGTCTTCTAGAAGAGTTATCAGAGAAAATTCACAAGTACTATTAGCTTGTTTGCCTGTTGTTCAGAAGTCATGTGCCATTAAAGGCTTTTATATCTAATTTGTATGCATGATATATTTCTAATTACGTGAGATAGAACAGAAATATGTTTTAGCAGAGATATTGAGTTCATTGTGCATCTGCAAAGAAATCACTGGAATTGAGCTAGAAAATACACCATAAGAATATGAGATGTATCCAGTTAGTCTCTTCTCAAGTAAACATTTAGGAAGCAGGCTGTTGCCCTCTGATATTCAACAATGGAATTGCAGGCAGAGCATTTGGCTCTGCATAAGCTGGGCAGAAGAACCTGAGGGGCTAAAGCACATAGGAGTCAACTATATTTTTCTCTTAAGGATGAGGTCTGTTCTTAGCACAAATTTAAACTTAGTCTGATGCTTGAGGTAAATCCAGTGCAGTTAAGTCATCCTTTATGTAAGATTTCTAAACACCGCGTCAGGCTTCTCTTTATGGTTTGTGCAGATGTTCAGTATCTTGCTTGTACATTAAAAAGGTGTATTGAGTCCTAGTTTTCACTACAGGTGAGAGACCACTAAGAGAAGAGGCTGAATTCACATTCAGAAAGTGATCTAAGTTAAAAGCCTTCGAATCTGAAGCCTTTAGCAACAATCCTGAAGGCTGAGAGAGAATCTTTTCTGTACTTCAGAAAAGATTAAGGTGCAAGATATGGTGCATTTGAAAGAGCATAATAGTGGTGGTATGTTTAAGGATCAGAGAAGTCTCATACAGAGTGCCTGTCCTGTTTCAGATCTCCTTCACATGAAGTTAAACTCCTAGCTTTATGTAGGAACTGGTTTTCATGGTTTTACCTGGACCTGTTTTCCCACCAAATTTCAGTAGGAATAGTATGAGATGTTACTATGACAGATGATTCCTATATTACAGTTATACTCCTTTTTGTTAATTTAAAAAATGTAGGTCTGTGAAATTTCTTACCAAAGTGGTCGGGAAGGCTACAACGGAGCCTTGTAAAGCGAGTAGGATTTGCTTTGTAGGTATATTGTGTGTGGAATAGCTATTTCCAAGCTGATGCGTTTAAATAGAAAATTTAGAAGTGAACAAGAAAGCAGTATGTGCCTTTTGAAATCATAGAACTATTTGGGCTTATTACCAAGAAAAAAAAAAAAAAAAAAGACAAAAAGATATGATAAAAGAAAAGTGTTCCCAAAATCTCTTGGTTTGCTGGCATGATACAGTATTACAGACAGACGTAGTTGCCTTTAAATGATCTTGAACCCTTTGTTAATAAGGTTGTGTACATGTGTTGAATATAGCCAGGCTATGGACAGTTTGCTGTCTGAAATTTAGTTCTTTATCCTTCCTTCTTACTATTCTTAAGGAATTCTGACAGTTGGAAAGCATTAAATAATTTGTGTTTTCTCTCATAAATACTGTTTCTTTTCAGATCCCTTGGGAAGTGGTCCTACATAACAGGCTGAAAATTATATTAAGTTTCTAATTCTCAATTTGTATCAGATTTCCTCCTCCTTGACAGAGACTTTCGTGACACTGATTTAAAAGTATGCAGTCATGCGTAGGATTTGGAATCACAAAAATTGAGTCTTCCTACTGTCATGTAAAGTCTAATATAATTGCCATTCCTTTTCCTGTGGTTTTGAAGTCAGGAAGGATTTTGTGGTAGGAAGGAACAGAAATTGCTTTTGATTTTGCTGCGTACTCTTATTTTATTCTTTAAAACATCACTTTACCATACAGTAGATGCATATGGATTTACAGAAGGTTGCTCATTTGCTTCAAAATAGCAAGCTGACCACAAAGATACAATACCTGTAGCCACACATGTGTAGTGTCTTCTAATACCAAAATCTCCATTACCAGATGACAAATAATTTTGAAAAAAGCTTTCCCTCAGCTAGGGGGATGAGGTAAATGGTAAAGGTTTTTCTCTTTTGTTGAGGGTTCTTTTTAGTTCTCAGTGATAATTTGCAGCATTATTTGCATAGTGTGTAAGAGATACTGTTGTTAAACACTTCCCTCCTGCCGAAAGTGCAAGTTTTCTTTTGGAAGGTGGAAACCATCAGTTTGTGCAGCGCCCACCGGTGGATCCTGGTAGAAGCCTGTGCTCTGAGGTGTTCTAAAAATAAAATCAGATTAAAAAAAAACATTAAAATAAAAAGATTTTAAAATAATGATTAAACATATTGCCAAAGAGCAGAAATTAATTTAAATGATTTAATTATATAACAGCAGTCATGGTAACATGCTAAAATTATTTTAGAGGGAGCATGCCATTTGTGTTTGCAGCATTCAGTTGGTTGATCTACAGGATTTATTTGTAAAGAAAACTGGTAAGCCCAAAGTTTACTGTTTGCCAAAATAGTGTTTGAATTCAGTGGATTGGCAGCAGAAATGCACCTGGTTCTTGTTCAGTGTTACATTTTAAAACATATTGCTTATTTTAACAACCACTAAATCCCTCTGCAGTCTTTTGTCTTCCAGCTCTACAATCTGTGGAAAGAAAAGGACATGTGAACTGTTAGAAATTGCTTAAAATTACAAGAGAATTACTTTTAGGTAATTTATAAGGCAGGAACTTAAATATCTTTCTCAACAAGAACTTGCTATTTATTTCCTAGCAATCTATGTTTGCTTGCTTAATGGTGTTTGATAATTAAAAAAGAAACAGCTTTGGCAACAAAAAGATGTTTTTAATTTAAGGCAAATAGGGTAGGCTGAGTGAATCCAAAGTCCTATATCTCAAGAATGTTGCTTTACAAATTCTCTAGCCTTCTGTAACTGTAATCAGCAACAATCAGTCAAAAATTGTCAATTATTTATAAACTGGTTTGTTCCTGCTCTTTTTCTTTTCATAAAGAATAGTATCTGAGAAGTGTCTCTGTAGGCAATAGCCAACATTCTGGTATGCACGCAGGTCATGTGATGAGATGGGATGTTTGACTTTTATTGAAATTTTCTTCTCCTCTTCAACCCAAAGTAAATAGCTATTCAGTAGGGAGGTGTCCTCACACGTAGTTAAACACTTGTATTTCCCAGAGGGCCCCTTCAGTATTGCAAAACTCAAGGGCTGAGGCAAAACTGCTTGGCTTTGGTACTTTAACAGGAATGCAGATGACTACCGAAGAAAACAGCAGCTTTGATGCCATTTCTGATGAGCGAAGCTGAAGGATAAATTGGTACTGAATAAATGGTAATTTCAGCTTGTAGTCACCAGCTGGCTGCAATATTCTTTGAGACAAAGAGACTTGATAGAAGGTAAGGATGAAAAGGTGGCCTCCAACAATTTCCCTCTATCTATTTGTCAGAGAAAATAGAGACACCTATTGAAGAAAGAAACATTTACACTGTAAAATGCTGCCACCTTGAAACAGTATCTGAAATGCCTTGGAGTGTCTGCCTTTAACTGATTTTTCTCTGAGGAAACTTAAGTCTTTATTTCTTGAAGCTCTGGATATTCCTTTTTTTTTTTTTTTAATAATGTAAAACTGGTTAGTCCACTTAATCATGAAGGTGACAATGAGTTGAAGAAAAAATAATATAAAATGGTTTCTTTTGTATGATAACAATATTGAATGCAAACACAGAATTACAAGGTTTCATTTCTAAGTGTGCAGCGATAGTCAATTCTTTTTCTTTTCCTCCATTAATACAGCATATAAGTTCATATAAGTTCACGCAGGTGTTTTCAAGATTGTGCTTGATAAGCTAAGATTGCTCTGGACTATATTTGCTCTGGACCTTTATTTTCACGTTTTGGGGATTTGGGATTTTTGGTTGTGTTTGGTGTGTTTTTTGTTTTGGTTTGGTTTTCTTTTTTTTTTTTTTTTTTTGGTCTTTTTGGGTTTTTTGTTGTTGTCTTGTTTTTGTTTTTTTTCCTTTTTTTGTTACCAAACAGAAAGTTATTGTAATATTTTGGATAGATTAGATAAGAAGCAACCGTTAAGTGCAGCCAGGGGCCAGACTTTCAAGGGATTTACTAATTTGAAGTGACCTTTTTGACTCTTCTTTTAAAAGAATATGTATTAAGGTATACTGAATACTTCTTTGAAAGTCTTGAGTTTTTGCTTAAGTGCTAAGCTGAGCTCCAGAACTTGGCCTGTCCAGTTATACTGAAAGCTGTTTTTTACCTTTTACCCAAACGTGTAAGTGACTGCTAAGGCAGTGTCTGAAGTGAGGAATTATGTGCATTTTACTTTGGGCCCTGGGACGCTGATTTTGCTAGGTACCATTTTTCAGTGGTGCTGAGTTTAAACTTAAATAAAAACAGAATCCCTCTGTCTAAGAGCCAGAGATGAACAGTTATACCTAACCTAAATAATGAAAGTCTTACGTTTGAAGAACAGAAGCAGAGTCTCCTAGGCATTTACCCTAGGGCCCTGTTTTTTGACATGTGCCTCTGACTACCTGTACTCCCGTTTCTGGGTACCCTTGCCTCCACACCCCCTAGTATCAATGTCTTTAACTGTGCACAGGTTTATTTGAAGCACAAGTTGCACCTGTCAATTACTTTCAAAGCTGCTGCAGAGCCAACTATTTGCTTTAAAAAAAGAAGTAGAAAAAGACAGTAGAAACTAGGAGGAAGGCAATATATATGACTGCATCTAGCATTATCTTAGGGATCATGTAATGCTGCTTTTTCAACCAACTCTGTCTTTGCCCAGGTTATATGGGTTGTTGAGTAGGCTTGCATTTACCTTTTAGCATGTGCTTGTTTCTTAGTCATGTCAACTACAATCTCTGGTTGTTAATACACTGATGTCCAAATCAATATCTTTTTCTATGTACAGATACCACAGTAGAAGCCTCTTTGCCAAACCTTACAACCTGCTTAATGGACCAGGTTGAATAAAAAGTTCTGAAAGGCAAACCTCTGCCACAGTTGCTTTCCTCCCCACACCTGCTTCCTGAACAACTTCTTTCTTGTGTAGGCAGTAAGGCATTCCACCTGGTTAGCTTCATTAGACAAGGAAAAATAACTTTCACAATGGTGTAGGTATTGGATATATTTTTTTACTGGATATATTCTAACACCTGAGTTGCTTGGGACTAAAGCATGGGAGATTAAAAGTGAACTGGAGGAAACAAACCAAAGTGCAAATTAGGATTTGGTGCTTGTTTGTTCTGTGACTTTCCTAAGACCAGAAAGAGAAGCATTTAAGTCCTGTCTCTGTCTGCACCAAAGCATGCATACACTGAACTGCCTTGCTACTGTGAGTGCTGAGTCCAGTAACGAAAGAAAATGTGAACAGAGGGCATAATCAGTCATGGTGTCGTTTGTACATGATGTTAGAGGTCATAAAATCATTGCATGTGCATCGCCTGTGAGTTATGATGCCGAATTAGTCAAATTGTCAAATGACAAATCCCTGGGAAGACTTACAAAACAAGAGACAGCATGAAATTGGTTGGAGTTTTCTTGGGGTTTTTTAGGCCACCCTGAAGCAATAGCAATCTTTTTTTTTTTTTTTTTCTAAATCCTGAAGTAATCGCATTGTTCTGCCCTTTAGCTGGTCTTTTAACATCATGTACCTTGCCTTTTTTGGCTAGATTTCTTTCCATTCACTCTTTCCGCTTGGTCCTGCTTCAGGATTTCAGCTAGCCACTGCACCACTCCCTTCATACAAAGACTGTTAATTTTGTGGTGTGATGTTCACCCTGTTCTGCCCATTGGCAAGCATGTTCTGTTGATTAGAAAGGCCTGATGAATTTCTGCTTACAGCTTGTGCAAAATGTGTTTTTTTGTTATGAAGGTGGCTTCTTATGAAGGTGGATCAGGTAGGCTTGGTCCTATTACACATGTTAGGAGGGCTCTTCCAGCTAATTTGGCATGCTGGGATTTATTTGGATTATCCTGTAACTGGCCGTTTTATTCAGTCTGGCACACTGGTTAATTAAGCATATATGCTAAGTTTCTGCCATTGAATATATACAGTAGATACTGATGAACTGAGAACTTTTCCTGGAAAGGTTTCTGCAGCAAACATCTTCTGCAAATAGTGGTTCTCTTTAGTGAACCATAGAGAGGGTTTTTCCCCCTTTGCATATGTTGTCAAGGTGGTGTTGGTACTTGCATAACCACTCAATATATGTGCTGGTGTTTTTTTTTCTTGACTTCAGAAAAGAGCATCATAAAATACTAGTCCTCCTGAGTCCCATAACTTTATGTTTCAGTGTCTCAGTTTTGAAGAGCTACCTGCTATATCCCACAGTCTGTACAGAGTAAAGCATACCCTAACCCTTTTACTAGTAAAATGTGGTTGAATAAATTCCTCCCAACCAGGAGATAATATTCTTTTAAATGACCAACAGCAGAATTTTAGCTGTACCAATAACAGTAGCAGCCTTTAGTGCAGTCAGCTCTAGTGCTTTATTAGTTTTTTAGTGGTACCTGGTAGTTGCAAGTGAAGCTTTGCTAAAGACACTACAGTTCTTATCCATGGATCGATCCCAGAAAGCCGTCCTGGGCATCTCTACTCCTGCTCCAGCAGTTTCACTTGTTAAGCATTAAATGCTCATCTGTAATTCCTTCTACTTAAGGCTGCAGTTCTTTGCAAAGATTTCCCTGGACATCAGAGAGTTTTGGATCAGACTGCTAAGGGGAAAGTGAGAGAGAGAGCAGACTTCAGGTCTGCTTGCTTATTGATCCTGCCTCCTCCAGATTCTGCTTTCAAACATAGACAGTATCTGAATATTGAAGGAGAGCAGCTTGTTCAAATTCCTTCCAGGCTGAATAGGAGGAGTCAAGTTCTAGTAAGCAGAGGCAAGTTTTTCTTTCAGAACCCAGGCCTCCTTCTAATTGTGGACACCTTCTCTCCAACTGTGAAAGTAAAAGTTGCATTATTACAGCTCTTTTATATTGTTTATATTCTCTCTGTTCTTGGAGTCCTTCACAGATAGAAGCATAAGCCATAATCTCTCTTGTTTCTGAGATGGCTCAGAGCAGTGAGCTGTCTCTCAAGTAGTACAGGCTAGATACTGTTTCTCTATCTTATTCTAGATCTTGGAGAATGTTTCCTAATCTGTTACCCATTTGATAGACTTGCTAAACTTCTGAAGCTCATCATAGGTTTCTGGTGTCAAGATATTTCATGTCTCCCTTTCAATAAATACACGTAAAATATTCTTTATATGAAGAACTTTTGTTTCTAAGTCATTTAGGTACAATATAAATACACGTAACTTATTATGTTAATATATGCTTGTACTGAGCATGTGTAGATCATCTTCAGGTGCTTTTTTTGAGAAAATGCTATAATTATCATCATATAAGCTTACTATGTATTGCATCTACTATTGCTGTAATACTTGAAAATAACTCACAAGTCTCTTGAGTCCCAGTGCAAAACTGTAAGTTCAGCTAGAAATTAGGAAATCAAAGAGCTCTGCTATCTGTGCCTTAACTTCCCTTTTCGATATGTGGACCTGTTTAGAAACACCTAAAGATCAGTTTATTGAAGGTGCCATAGAGTGGTGGAACAATTTTATTAATA